ACACCGGAGTCAGTTCTCCTTTCTCCAGTTTTCTCTGCATATGTGACTTCACCACCAACACCTAAGGCCATCCTGCTACACTCAGAGCTCTCTCTTCGCAGACTCTGATGAAGTTTTGGTTAACACCCCATTGACTGTTTCTTAGTGGCCACTTTTGGCTCCAGTCCTTGGTTGGCTATGAACACTCCCTTTTCAGGAAGGACTGTCATAGCGCCCTGTCTTCTGGTCTTGCAAGGGTCACTAATGTCAGAGGTCATCTTGGGGCCTCTGCTTGACTGGCTTTCAAAGGCAATGAGATGACCTTTCGCCTGACTCCGTGTGTGATCATTCCATGTACCTTGATTCCGCAGGAAAGGAAATGCACAGTCAGCAGATGTAAGCAGGAGTTGGACCAAGTTGAAAGCAAGTTGGGTTGTTTTCCCCTATAAAAGACTCGGGAGTGGGTATCTCAGGGTTAGTGGACCCCACAGATTGAGTCATGTGTCCTTGCTTTCTTTTTCATAACCCTCAAAGGTGTAAAATCTATTCTTAGATTTGGGTCACAAAGAGAGGCCATAATATGTTCAGGCGTGCCTTAGATGGTGATATTAACTGTCCCCCCCTCCCCAGCGTTCAGCACTCTGCACAGCAAGGAGAGGCTGTCCCTGTCAGCAGCGCCAGACTTCAAGGCCTCCTCTTAGTAAGACTTGAACAGCACCAGATTTTAAATAGAGGATATTAGAATATGGCCTCCATCTTTCCTTCTCCCCTTGCTCCCTCTTCCCCCTTTCCTTTTTCTATCTCCATTTCTCCTCTTCTTCCCCTCTCTTCATCTCTCTCCCTTTCTTTTCTCTCCCTCTCTCCATCGTTCCCTCTCTTTCTCTCCCTCTTTTCCCATGTTTCCCCTCCCTCCCTCTCTTTCTTTTTCCCTTTCTTTCTTTTTTCTCCTTTTTCTTTCTCTTTCTTTGTTTCTTTCTTTCTATCATCCTCTCTTTCTCTTTCTTTTTTGGCAGTGCTGGGGCCTCTTCCATGCTAAGCGAGCATTATTCTACCACTGAACCACATCCCTACCCAACTCCTTTCTATTTAACTATTGAAATGTACTAGTGTGTGTGTGTGTGTGTGTGTGTGTGTGCGCGCACACACACACATGCACTTATGTGCACACTTGCAAATGCATATGTGTGTGTGTGTTGAGCTTCCTGTAGCTCTACACAACTAAGAATTGTACCTTATTTTTCTTCTGGCATCCTTGTACCCACTGACATAAACTTTGTTAACAAGGTAGAGGCCAAATTCCTAACATGCTTAGATTCTTTAAGAGTTCTCTTTTTACACAGTGGTGTCTGCCAGCAAAGCAGAGGCAGGCAGATCTCTGAGTTTGACTGAGGCCAGCCTGGTCTACAGAGTAAGTTCCAGGGCAGCCAGGACTGCACAGAGAAGGCCTGTCTTGGAAAACCAAAGCAAACCAAGCCAAGATCAAGAAAGAGCTCCGTGTTTTATGCCCTACTTATGCAGGCGTTCATTCATCTAACCAGCTTCCATGGAGTGTTTGGCCCTTTCCAGACAGCGCTCCAAGCGTCCGTGGGCGGTAGTGAGTGACAGAGAAAACTCCCTTCCCTTACAGAAGTTACTGACCAGTGAGGGGAAGCACGTGGAGAACATGCTGAGACACACGATGGAGCCAGGCGGGGGCAGGAGCTAGAGTTGGGAAGTACTGGCACCATATGCTCCGCAGGCATCCATTACGAGCTCCTTACTGTGCTAGTTACCTTCCTAATAAATACCCAATTGTTTGATAATAGACAACACATTGCTCTTTTAATTGATGAAATATTTGTAGATTCAAGGCAGTACAGCAGCAGTCCCACCAGATTTGCAACTGACTTAGATTGTTGATATTCCAACATATGCACGCTAGCCGTTGGTCATGGGCAGTCAGTGCATCCAGTCTAGTTTCTTCTCAACGGGACCGGCTTGTAGAGACGAATCAGCGAGCAGCCGAATCAGAGAGTGATTGAGGCTGAGCCAGGCACGTGGGTTACAGGAGCAGTGTTGACACAGCTCCCCTGGCCCAGTGAGGAGTGGACAGAGAGGACCTGGAAATACCACCAGGGCGGTGGTCAGACGGAAGATGCATCGCGAGGATGTTTTACAGGGGGAGGTGGCTTTAATTGCATGAGTGATCTAGTTCACGTCTTCATAGACTTGGGTAGTTAGGAAATAAAAGCCCGAATAATTATCACCTGCCCACCTCCCAGCCCTGCTTTTAAAAAAAGCACCACTTGCCAACCAAAGGGATTAGACTGTCGCCAATAAATGGCTTTTCTGTGGTATCTGACTGAGTGACATTCACTGAAGTAGGGCACTTCAACCCTCTCGGGTGGCTCTGGTGACTTCTGACAGACTAATCACAGGAAAGACTAGTTTGGCACAGCTAAGTGTTTAACGGTTAATGTTTTATTTATTTATTTATTGATTGATAGGCTCTCACTCTGTAACCCAGGCTAGCCTGGAACTTTTGATTTATCTGCTTCTGTCTTCCCAGTGGTGACAAAGTACACCAGTGTCCAGCTTGTAAAATCTTAAAAAAAAAAATAATCCCCAAACTCTCCAAAATAAATGCCACCAGTCTGGCTCCCCAATACCAGGGGATCTGTGTATGAAATGGAGGTGAGGATTAAGGCCTGGGAATTTTCCAGCTGCAGAAAGTTAATCTACAATTAGACATGGTTTTTTTTTTCCTTTTTCCTTTTTTGTAGGTTTGATTGTGTATTATTTTCTTTAATAATGTAGTTGTTTACTTAAGAACAAAGGTGGGGCACATGGAATGTATGACCAGATGTCATGATTCTTGGTCCTGCATCTCCAAAGAAACAGTTATGTGGTAATTATGTCTAAAAACATCGACCAAGCAGCCTCCTTTTCCAGTCCTCTGGGTCCACACTCCTGACATTCTGACCATTTTAGGACCAAAATGGAAAACCAGAGTCCAACTTTGTACTGCATCACAAGTTGGGGGGGAAAAAAACCCCACAAATATGTTGAAGAACATTTACGTTTTTTTTTCCTCTCCCGAGACAGGGTTTTGCTGTAGTTATGAAGCCTGTCCTGGAACTAGTTCTTGTCGACCAGGCTGGCCTTGAACTCACAGGGATCCCCCTGTCTCTGCCTCCCCTCCCGAGTGCTGAGTTTAAAAGCATGTGCCACCACTGCCCAGCTTCAAAGAGATTCTTATTTACTGAATTCTGTCTTCCCCAAAAAAGGGGGGGGGGCTAGATGGAACAAGGAAAGCGAACCCTTGAGCTTTAATTCATTATGCTGAATCTGCTTCTGCCCAGATAACGTCTGCTTTTGATTTTCCCCACACACAAATGGATAAGTTTCTAATGCCCAGAATAACTTGCACAGTGTGTATCAGACCTATTTAAAGGCCTATGATGTGCCATCCCAGAGATCGCTACAAAAAAGAAAATGGGATTATTTAATGTTGTAACCTTGTAAAAATCCCCGGCTTGCCAATTTTTGAGACACTTACATAGATCAGGTCACCATTGACTTCTTTGCTGTTAGTACCCAGGTCACAAGAAATGACAACTTTGGAGCTGGAGAGATGGCTCAGCAGTTAAGAGCACTGGCTTCTCTTCCAGAGGACCTGGGTTTAGTTTCCAGCACACATGTGGCAGCTCACAACTGTCTGTAACTCCAGTTCCAGGGGATCTGGTGCCCTCTTTTGGCCTCCTTGAGCACTAGGCATGCACATGGTACAGACATATATGCAGACAAAACACTCATACACATGACAGAAGTCAAAAGATGATAAGTCATAAGTCAAAAGATACGTTACTTTAGGGAAGAGGTTTTGCTTTTGTTCCCACAAGAAGTGAGAGTCTGTGTATTCATTCTTGGTTAAGAAAAGCAAGGTTTGATTGAGGAAGACCCCCTGAAAAATCTCCAATGGGAACAGATGATCCAATGTTTCAGAGCACCTCTATTGCAGTTTCCTCTGAGTTCTACATTCAGAACAGCCTTAAGATGCTGGCTGAGATAATCAGGCCTCACAGAATACTCCAGTAAGGACTTGACCATAATCCTAAATTTTCTTTGGATCCCCATAAGATTATCTGCACCCAATCAGCAGGAAATAGTCTAGAAAACCATGCCCACATTCACAAAAAATGGATTATGGATGATTGTCTTTGTTTAGTGTGTTGGTTATAAGTTGTTATGGATAATGGTCAGGAAAAAAGCTAAACAAAGGAAATTAGATTCAAGGTTCTTATTTTGAAAAGAAAAAAGGGGGATATAGATATGACAGAATAAAAAGGTAGATAATTGAGTCTACTCTGAAAATAAAACAAAGGAGGATATAGATATGATCCTGTTTTGAAAAGAAAAAAAAGGCCAGGCAGTGGTGGTGCACACCTCCCAGCACTTGGGAGGCGGTGGCGGGTGGATCTCTGTGAGTTCGAGGCCATCCTGGTCTATAGAGTGAGTTCCAGGACTGTCTCCATAGCTATTGAGAAACCCTGTCTTGAGAAAATAAAAAAGAAACAAGAAAAAAGGGGGATATAGAAATGATAGAATAAAAGGTAGATTATTGAATCTACTTTTAAAAGGCAACTACTAGTTTTAAATATTTTACATTGGATTTGACTTTTGCATATTGTACAGATTTTGTATATTGATACAAATTTGAGATTAATTTAGTTGAAACACACTGTACATACATTTCTACTCTTGTTCAAGGTGTTATACCTATATAACTCATTTAACAATGTAAAGCAATTTCTAGTCCTTGAAAATTATTATCACCAACTGTTTAGGATAATAAAGAAATGCAGGTTAGTAGTTACTCACCTAGTACAATTGAACTTGTAGTCACATTAGGTATGTTTTCAAGGTCAAACAAAGATATATTTTAGATAGACAGGTCATCTTCAAATACTTCAGAGATCTACAGAATACTGCATTTAAGATGTTTTAATAACATAGCTTTCTTTTTTTTTTATGACAATAAGACATGTCTGCTCCTGGCAACACCAATCTACTTCAAAGAAGAAAATGCGCATTGAAGAAACTCCACATGGTGTTTACTTTCTTTGTAGCAAAAGTAAGCCTCTGTGCAAGAGAAAGCCCCTGCCTTGACTGCTGCCAAGGCTGTCCTAATTAGACAAACAGGACACAAAATATCCTGCTTCACAGAAAAGCCTGTTGGATATGCCAGGCCAAAGATGGATGCCCCATCGTTGCAGATGAACTTTGGGTCGCTGTCCAGGCAACCAGCTGTTTCTGTCATTACTCACGGTTTTTTAGAAGCTGCTTGCTTGCCCTTCCTGCTCACTCAGTTAATATTATTCCCTTCTCGGGTCTCTGAGGAAGTTAAAGACTACATTGTTATTATTATCATCTCCTTTGTTTATGAGACCCAGAAAAGAAGTTCACTAAAGAATTGTAAAGTATATAAGGTTGAGAGAAGTCAAAAGATGGTTTTGGATGGTAATGCAAGTTCTGATAGAAAGTAAATTAGGTCCAAGACTTTGGACTCACCAAGATAGAATAGATATGGAATATTTTCTCTGAATTTGTCAAATGCAAATGGATGAGACATTGTTGATGTATTTATTGCTTGTATATATTGTACATAGTTATATATATTGTACTTGTGTATATAGTTTTTCTTATATTAGTTATAGCCTATTAATTTTAGACAAAGGGGGAAATAGAGTGGCATTTCAATTGTATTTTAATAAATAAAGTTTGCCTGGGGATCAGGAGAGTAAAACAAGCCACGCTGTGAGCCTTACAGCGAGGCAGTGGTGACACACACCTTCAATCCCAGTAGTCACTCTAGTTGCCATAGAAATAGGGTGGTGCAAGCCTTTAATTCCAGGACTAGAGGGGATTAGAAAATGGGAGAAAACAGCTCTGAGACAGTCTCATTCTGAGATTCCTGGAGGTGGGATTGCCATTTCACACTGAGGTAGAGTAAGAGTCAGTGTCTAGCTGCTTTGATTTTCCTGGTCTTCAGGTTGAACCCCAGTTTCTCTCCCGGAGTTTTTATTAATTGTGCTTCAATTAAAAATTCAAAATATTTAAGAAAACAAAGAAATGACATTCAAAGGAAGGAAGGGAATTGAAGCATTTCCTGTGCTTCCACTCACTGGACAGCCACTAATCAATGCTGCATCTATTTTCCTCACCGTATGTATGTATAGAAGAGAAAAGGCGAACTACTGGGAGGTTAGACTCTGAATTTAACTCTGTGGAGTGTGCCGTCTGTATATGTAGAGTTTTAACACCGCGGCACTACATGTCTACTTTCCGAAAATGGTGAGAACGCATGGGGCGGAAGCCCCCAGGAAATGAAGCTGCTTACTTTGTTTATTAACCTTGTTTAACACAGCAGCTCCATGTCAGCCACTCAGTTTTTTCCTTCTCTCTCTGTGTGTGTGTGCATGTGTCCATCTGCACGTGTGTGAAGGTGCAGGTGTGTACTGTCAGAGGCTAGAGGGCAACAGAGGGTGTCTTATTTTCCTTCACCTTCCTGGATTTTCCCTGAAGCCAGAGCAACTGATGAGGCCCCCTATGATGCACTGACAGGTGCACATGCTTGCACCCCGATGCTTGTCTGACACAGGTGTACACGGCTGCACCCCTACCCTGAATTGACAGGTACACACGGCTGCACCCCTACCCTGGATTGACAGGTGCACACAGCTGCCCCCACCCCGGGACTCACATTTGAGCTTTACCCACTGTGCCATGTCCATGGGCACTAGGCATTTAAAGAGGTGTTTCATAGCTTCTTCCAAAGGCAAAGGACAGTTGCCTGTACTTTAAATGTTTTATGTTGGACTCATAATTTAGTGCCAAGTGTGAAATATTAGGACTGTACACATTTACTGAAAGTGGGAGAGGGGGAGGGGAGAGAGGGAGAAAAGGAGAGAGGGGGGTTCTAGGCACCAAAAGTCTGACTGAATGTCTTGTTTTTTTATTTTGCTGCCCTCTTGTGGCTGAGAGGGGTGGCGCATTTTCCAAGGCTTGAAACAGGACCGAACTAGAATTAGCCATGCTTCCTTATTTACAAAAGTGAGCCTGGTGGTGGTGGTGGTGGTGCACGCTTTTAATCCCAGCACTCGGGAGGCAGAGGCAGGCGGATCTCTGAGTTTGAGGCCAGCCTGAGCTAGTTCCAGGACAGACTCTAAAGCTACAGAAAAACTCTGGAACCTCCCTGTCCCCCCAAAAAGGGGGGACGGACGGACATATTATGAACTTGTCTCTTGTCTGCCTGTCACAGACATTTTATGACAATCTCGTTTTTCCCTGTGAGTTACTTCTAACGCCCACCTTCATTCGCAGCAGGGCTGTTTCACTTGGGCGGCCGTTTTCCTCTGCTTGGCCGCACGGGCCATCAGTGGCCCACAGCAGTGGTGCCTCTCGTCTTCATCCCAAATGCCTTGCCCGTGACTTTCTCGCTCTGTGTCCCTCCTGACAATCGCTCTGAACCGCATTTAGCATGTTTGCTCTCATCCACCCCACACAGTCTCTCAGATATGCCTCCCCGCAGGGCCTCTGGACACGCTGTCCCCTGCTCTAGAAATAGCCCTTCTGCTTGTAACAGGATGGATCCCGTGCTTCAAGTCTCGAGAAAGAAGCTGGACTGTGTGGCGACCCCTTCCGGGCCACCGCACCCCGCGGTGCCAATTATCACCCTGTAGGTGTACACACCTCTCTTTGCTTTCGTTGTTAATCTGTTCCTCAGACAGGATCATTCCTGCTTGGTCACCAGGGGGTCCCACAGCCTGGAAGAGAGTCTACTAACCAACAAGAAGGAGCTTGAAGTAAATGTGTGGAAAGCAAGCAAGGGGGAGGGGATGGGTGTGAATCTGTTGACAAATTCTGTTTTAAAATTTCCCCACCATGTTCCTCTCCCTGGCATTTGCTTGTGCTCAGAGATCTGACTTCTAACATGTTGGCGGTGCACTTCTCCATCCCTGTTCTCATCCCTCAGGCTTCTGCAGCCCCTCCCCTTTGCTCCCAGGTGCTACCTGTGAGAGCTACATTTCAACATTTGCATCTTCATCCCTGCCTCTTCATCCCTGTCAGGAAGCCTACTTGCCAACTCCCACCCTGGGTGGCTACTTGGCTGCTTCCCAGTCCCTCAACCAAACTGAATCCTGATTATCCAGGCATGTGGAATCTCTGCTTCTTAGGAAATGCAGTAACAATCAGCATGGTCCTCACAATCAAATGAGACCTCCCTTCCAGGACTGCCACCTTGGAGCCAGCAAGAAAATTACCCTGAACGTCTCGGCCTCTTCGCCCACCAGCCCGGCAATGGCCGACAGCGGCAGCACGGGCCCGTGAATGAGATTCTTGGTCAGTGAGGTGGGGAACAGGAGGTCTGTTTCACTGGCCAGCGACCCGTCTTCCAGAGGTAGCTTGACCAACCTGGAGATAAAGGAGACATCGAAACAAATGGAGCAACGGAAACCGATTTCGGGTGGAGGCTGCGTTATCAGCGTGAGGTGGGGAAGGTGTTCTGCCACAGAGACATGCAAGAAGGTAAGGGCCAAGAAACAGGTTTCAAAATACCTGCCGTAAAGTGACGGGTTATGTGTAGTTAAAAATGAAGTGCATGGGGATTATTGAGATGACCCCAAGTTACTGTGTGAGGCAGGAACTGTAAACTTCAATGTTTGGGGGCTGGGCGCACATCTGGGAGCTGAAATAAACATACATATATAGTCGGAATCCAGCTGCTACCTCGCAATGTCTGATGATAAAAATCCATCTTGTAGTTGATCCTATGTCTGTTTTCAGCCCATGATGTATTATCAAAGAGGGTTTAGAGAATTTATGGGATTAAACCAGAGGCTTCTTGGTAGTGGTCTATGAGCGGTGACCTCCTTTGGAGAACGGTCACATAAACAGAGAACACTGCCTGGGTGTGGGACTGAGAGCATCTGGGCCCTGCCGGTCCTCTTAGGTGTCCCCTACTTCATTGGTATATGAAGAAGTCACAGCAGTCAATGCTCAGAAACACAGCGGAACGTTCGAGGGACTCGCAGGAAGAAAGGGTGTAAGAAGTCAGGTGCCTATCCTGATGCAGCTCTGGTGGACGTCACCTGCTCTATTAGGAGACAGAGTGTGACCAATGGCTGGAGACTGGTCTATTCTCTAGGCCCTTGTGAAAACAACTTTGAGGGAGAAAATGCGCTAATCACAACTCTTAGATGCCTCCAGTGTGAACAATTGGCTTTTTTTCTTTTCCAGTTCTTTTCTGACTCCACATGTTACCGAGGGTTGTTTTTCAAAAATTGCAGTTTCAAGAGTATATCTCTATATACCTCCCCAGCATCCCTTGATCTTCACTGAAAACGGTCAACCCCGTGGTGGTGTGGGACTCTGAACTCTATGCACCAAACATCCGTCATCAGCTGTCACTATTTGGTCCAGGACATCCTGAGACACATTTCTTTTTAAATGAGTAACTCCCATGACTCTACGCTGTGGGCGCTGGCTCGAATAACATGGCTGACCGTATACTGCACTCTGCATGCTTCCTACAGCCAACAAATGCTGATTTTAGAGTCTTTAGTAGAGTACCAAATCAATGGGAACAAAAGTCACTGGGGTCCTTTCTTAGATAATAGTAACATTTAAAAACATTCACTTGAAGGCCACAGAACAGGTGAATGACTCTTCTGCAGCTAAACTGTCCCACTCCCTAGATTCTGTTCCACTGATCAGCCCTCCAACCTCATCACCAGCCCCAAGGCCAGGCCCTGTTTCCAACCATGAGGTACTTCCCAACAGGCCACACCAGTCAGAAGAACAGAGACTCCCTGCTGTAACAAAGGCCAAGCTAACCCCAGAAAGTCAGCTCCTAACTTGATCAGAAGTCACACCAACTACCAGAAATCCATGTCACAAAGACTAGAAAACCAAAGAGGAAACAGAAACCAAGGAACAATACACATATCAACAAAGAAAAACGCAGAAAGCAGTACCTGGATCTATAACACCCAAACCCAGATGCCTAAGTGCCAGTATAAGAATGCAATCAACAACAGCCAGAGTAATATGGCACCAACAGACTCCAGCTATCCTGGATATTCCAGCTCAGCTGAACCACAAGAAAAAGACCTTAAAAACAACATTATGATAGTGACAGAGGTCCTTAAAGAGGGAAAATAAAAACTCTGTTAAAGAAATTGAGGAAAAGACAACCAAAAATTTGGAGGGAATCAATAAATCCCTTAAAGAACACCAAGAAAAAAGCAAATGGGTGATAGAAAACTATTCAACCTAAAAACCGAAATAAAAGCAGGGAAAAAATAACCCACAAATTGAGGAACTTCTGGAACTGGGAAATCTGGGTAAGTGAACAGGAGCTACAGACACAAGCATTGCCAACAGAATACAACTCCTTCATCATGAAAGTCTTGGAGGGATCAGGGACACAAAGAACATACCTAAACATAATAAAGACAACTTTCAGAAGACAACAGGCAACATCAAATTAAATGAGAGAAGCCCAAAGCAATTCCATTAAAATCAGGAACAAGATAGGGCTGTCCATTCTCTCCATAGCTATTCAATAGAGCATTCAAAGTTCTAGCTGGAGCAATAAGTCAACTGAAGGAGATCAAGAGGATACAAATTGAAAAGGAAGAAGTCAAAGTATTGCTACTTGCAGATGATATGATAGTATACACAAGTGACCCCCAAAATTCTACCAGAGCACTCCTCCAGCTGAGGAACACCTTCAGTAAAGTGGCTGGATACAAGATTAACTTAAAAAAAAAAAAGTATGGGGGCTGGAGAGATGGCTTAGTGGTTAAGAGCTTTGCCTGCTCTTCCAAAGGTCCTGAGTTCAATTCCCAGCAACCACATGGTGACTCACAACCATCTGTAATAAGGTCTGGTGCCCTCTTTTGGTCTGCACGAATACATGTAGACAAAATATTATATACATAATAAATAAATAAATAAATATTTTTCAAAAAGAAACTGTGCTCAGTTATCAGAGCACCATTAAAAAAAGTAGCCCTCCTATATACAAATGACAAATGAGCTGAGAAAGAAATCAGGGAAACACCACCCTTTATTATAGCCATGAAAAATCTGAAATATCTTGGGGCAACTCTAGCTACACTCAAGCAAGTGAAAGAACTGTGTTATAAAAACTTCAAGTCTTTGAAGAAGGAAATTGAAGAAGATATGAGAAAATGGAAAGATCTCCTATGCTCATGGATCAGTAGGCTTCACATAATAAAAATGGTATCCTATCAAAAACAATCTACAGATTTAATGCAATTCCCATCAAAATTTCAACAAAATTCTGATGTGGGATGTCCCTCTGTATGCTGTGAATATGTTTTATTACCAGTGGTTAATAAAGAAGCTGCTTTGGCCTATAGCAGGTCAGAATACAGCTAGGCAGGAAAGCCAAACTAAATATAGGGAGAAAGAAGGCAGAGTCAGGGAGATGCCATCAGTCTCCAGAGAAGCAAGATAAGAGGTAACAAGCCACAATCCTTGTGGTTAAATATAGAATAATAGAAATAGGTTAATTTAAGTTATAAGAGCTAGTTAATGATAAGCCTGAGCTAATAAGCCAAACAGTTTGTAATTAATATTAAGCCTCAGAGTGATCATTTTAAAAGTGGCTATGGGACTGGGCAGGAGAAGAAACCTCCAGTTATACAATTCTTTACAGATCTTGAAAGAACAGTACTCAACTTCAAAAGGAAAGACCAAACAAGCAAGCAAAAAAACAAACAAGCCAGAATAGTTAAAACAATCCTATACAACAAAAGAACTGGAGGTATCACTATTCTTGATTTTAAGCTGTACTTCAGAGATATAGTAGTAAAAGCCACATGGTATTGGCATAAAAACAGACACACTGATCAATAGAGTTGAATTGGAGATCCAGATGTCAATCCACACACCTATGGACACTTGATTTTTGATAAAGAATCCAGAAATGTACAATGGAAAAAAGAAAGCATCTTCTACAAATGGTGCTAGTCTAACTGGATAATGGTGTGTAGAAGAATGTAAATAGATCCATAACTACCATCCTGTACAAAACTCAAGTCCAAGGATCAAAGACCTCAATATAGAAACCAGAAACACTGAGCCGGATAGAAGAGAAAGTGGGGAACAGTGTAGTAGTGTCTGTTATTTGTATTTTAATAAATAAATCTTTCCTGAAGATCAGAGGCAAGTTCAGGTAATGGTGACACACACCTTTAATCCCAGGATTTGGGGAAACAGAGGCAGAACTCTGTGAGTTCAAAGCTACCCTGGGCTACACAAGATCAATGTAGAAACAAATCCAGGTGGTGGTGGCCTATAGCTTTAATTTTAGTACTAGGGTGTCATGCCTTTAATCCCAGCACTAGAGGGAAGATAAAATGGGAGGAGAGAGAGTCTTAAATGACTTAGTCTGCAATCAGCCAACATTGGTAGAGGTAAGACTTCTCTAGTGGCTTGGCTGCTTAGCTTTTCTGGT